ATAATCCCTTTTCAAGAACTACAACAAACGGCTCGTTTGGACTACAGTGTTTGTTTTCAGGGCTTAGTGATATCACAAAGTGGCTCACTGGAATATCATTACAAATAATTCCCGCCTACAGAAATTTGAATGTTTGGGGGGTGGGGAGGGGCGAGGTTGTGGTTAGAACGCTTGGTTGAGTGAGTGCATCAGATGAGATGACAAAGAAGAAGTTAGTGTGTCAGAGAAAACCAAGAAGAGCTGCTGTGCTGTAGCGTCAAATTTTCGGCATGTCTAGAACAATTCTTACAAGTATAACACGACGTAGCTGGGCGCCGCGGACAGATGGCGAACGGTGCCACCGGTGTGCCTAGACTCATAGAAAATAAAGTATTTGAATTTTAAAGACGTGGCGCGACGTGGCGCGATGCGACGCTGCGCTTCTTAACACATTTTGTTTTACGGAAGGCGGACCTTCATCAAAGCTGGAACTAATCGAGCCGTTTGTGCCAGCATGGGGAGAAAGGTATTTTAATAATGTAAATTATGTGAAAAATAATGCGTTTTTCGAACCACCAAACATGAGAGCATGTTCTAGTACACCCCCAAAACAAAATCAAGACTTTGTAAAAGAGCATAATAGGACCTCTTTAAGGCCAAAACAAAATTCAAAAAGCAAAAACTGATTTGAGCGTCAGAATTGCAAAAAAAGTAAATATGTCAACTATCTAATTATTTCTCTGATTTTAGGTGCTTAAATGGACGGTTCACCCAAAAATAAAAATTCTGTCATCATTTACTCTCTCTCTCTCTCTCTCTCTCTCATGTTGTTCCAAACCTGTATGAAGTTCTTTATTCTGCTGAACACAAAAGAATATATTTTGAAGAACGTTTTTGGTAACCAAACAATTGATGGTAGCCATTGACTTCCATGGTATTTTTTAAGTACCGTATTGACCTGAATATAAGACAATGTTTTTTTCTTGGAAATACATCTGAAAAAACGAGGTCGTCTTATATTCAGGGTCTAGACTTTGACATGTCAATAATACACCCACAACAATAGGTGGTGCCACATATGCATAAAACGAGTGTGCCATGAAATACGTAATGTGATACGTGTTGTAATGATCGCGAATAAAAACCAAAACAAAAGAAAAAGAAAATCTTACAGCTGCATGAGTCGTGACAGTCACGTTAGCCTGATGGGACCAAACTCCCTTTGTGATTTTAAAACGCAAGACAGAACCTAGATTTGAAGACTACAGTGAGATTGAACTTCAACTGTTAATAAGATTTTGGTAGGCTACTATTAGATGGATAGCCTAAATGTCCTAATTCAGATGGGCTACCTGTTTTTTTTTTTAATGGTATATCAAAAAGTGTATATTTTTAAAATGTGATTGTTGGTACCATACTTTCAAAACAAAAATTAAAATAGGAAAAATGTGTTTTTTGAGAAAAAACAAGATTTGTTTTTTAAAAAGCCTTTTTCCAAAAGGTACATCTGGAAAAAGGGGGGTCGTCTTATAATCAGGGTCGTCTTATATTCGGGCCAATACGGTAAATACAGAGGAAAGCAACTCGTACAGGTTTGGAACAACTTGAGAGTGATTTAATGATGACAGAATTTTTGGGTGAACTATCCTTTTAATTGTCTTGAAAATAATGTCATAATGCAAAAAAGTCATAACAGTACTATAATAATAGGACCAGAAATAGACATATGACCCCCTAATGGCATGTTCTCCAGAGCTTTTGTGAGGCATCTTTTTTTTGCCATTTTACCTGTTAGTACAAACATTACAGAATTCCTAAAAAAAAAAAACTTTTAGGTGATGTTAAACCTAAACAGACCTAGAACATCTGGCCAATTTTTCAAACAAATATTTTTCAGAGAATACTAGATGCCTCATTAAAAATATATATACAGCATAACAACAAATAAATGGGACATCCGATCAGCCTGCGAGATCAATAGCTATGAAAGTGGTGGTGAACTCCGTTCGAACTCTGGCACAGAGTTCTCTAAATTCTGAATTCATGCAACTAGGTCGCCCACGCATGAACGACAGCTTCAGTCAGGCAGCCTGCCACTGAGCGAGGGCCTGCGCGCTCCTCGCTGCTTCATTAGGGAGCTCGGCTCAGCCGTTTCAAACAGAATCCATCATGTGAAGTAGATCGAAATCCAAGCAATTAAAGGGAAACCCCTCTGCTCTTCAAAGGCACCGGGAACAAGCAGGAACAGATATCTCTATTGCCCCCCTGCCATTTCAAAGCCGCGAGATGACAGCAATGTCTTTGTTGAGTTGCACGCTCATAATCAACACCATAGAATCCATGCATTCTGGCTTCAAACATACAGAGCCCTACTTTCATGGTCTGATTGTAAAGCGATTTGGTCCAAACCCTCTCCATGGCACCGTGGCATTAAGTTAAGCACTTGGCTGGCATTAATACATGCCGTGTCTCTCTGAGGGCCCCATAGCGCTTCTCGCCAAGGCTAATCATGGTTTAGCAATGAGCGCAGCAGCGAAAGTTTTATCGTAGAGGTCTTAATGAGAGCACCATACGTTTGGCGAGGCCAATTTGAGTCATGTCCAAAAAACTTAAACGAGAGTCCTGCCTTTCTCTCGAATTGTTCATCAACAGTCAAAATCGTCTGAGATACGGTCACTGATACTTTGAAATCTCCACTGCTTTCATTCAACTCTCTGTTTCCACAGCGGTGAAGCACATGGGCATTGGCTCGTAGCCTGGAGAGGAAACTTCATCATGATTTGAGCAATATAATATTTGAGTAATTTATTCCCGGGGTCCAGGGCCAGACTCGCATCCAGGGTTGATTTAGGAGTCCCTGCTTTGTTGTAACTCACGGCAGACATTCTGGACTAGGACAATTTCAGCTCAGCTGTGTGTAGTTTGGAAACACGCTATCATGGCAGAATATAATAAAATTAAAGAAAATAAAAACCTTTTTTAGGCTCCGATTTAAAACAACACGGCTCAGTTTCATAAAAATACAGTTTAGACATGTGCAAACACTTAAAAAGTGAGAAATTGTTTTATATCGCCTAAAATGGGCTTCACTGAGCAATAGCAGAGGCATACATATCTTCATTACGTGTTAGACTTGACAGAATATTTTAGGAATTAAAGGAATAGTTCATCCTAAAAGGAACATTTTGTCATAATTTACTCCCCATGTATTATTTTCTTTCTTCAACGAAACAAAACAAATCATCAGAATTTGTTCTCCATCACATTACTGCAGATCTAAACATGCATGGCCGCAATTGAAATTTATGAGATTATCTTGTAATATTGAAAAGTGCTTGAGCTCACCAAAACACATTTATTTGATCACAAAAACAGTAATATTGTGAAATCTTATTACAAAATCTTATTGAAATGTAATTTACTCATGTAATGCTGAATTTTCAGCATCATTACTCCAGTCTTCAGTGCCACATGATCCTTCAGAAATCATACTAATATGCTGATTTGCTGCTCAAGTAACATCTCTTATTATTATCAGTGTTGAAAACGGTTGTGCTGCTTCATATTTTTGTGGAAATCATGATTCGGTTAATAGAAAATATTTTAAAAGAACAGAAATGTTTTGAAACATTATATGTCTAAAGGCCCATTCACACCAAGAATAACTATAAAGATAACGATAAAGATATAGTTCTAAAAATCGTTCTCAATATTAAAGAATAGCAGAGTCCACACCACAACTATAACGATAAAGACAAAGATAAACTATATCGTTGGGATCACTTTCAAAACTTTTTTTTTCCCAGCTGATGAATGATAAAAAAAAAATTGACAGCCAATCAGAATCCATCCTGCTGTAATGAGCTCGAGAATTTAAAGCGGCAGACGAATAGAATTAGAATAAACAGATGATATCGTTCGCTGGTGTGGACGCTAAAATAGTTGTCTTTATAGTTATTGTTCTTGGTGTGAACGGGGCTTTACTGTCATTTTTGATCAATTTACTGCATCCTTACTAAATAAATTATTCATTTTTTTGAAGAAAAAAACAATTACTGACCCAAAACATTGAATGGTAGTGTACATTTGTTTGCAAAAATATGAGTTTTTGAGCTCACAAGTCGTATGGACAATTTATGCTTTATTTTTTAAAGATAATCTTTGCTCTTTTTATAGAAAAGAGCAACTTAGACATGCTGCCTAACATCTCCTTTTGAGTTTCTCTGAAGACAGACAATAATTTAGAGTTTGAACGACAAGAAGGTGAATAAATGACGTGCATTATTTTGAGTGAGCTACTCATTTTCTGCATTGTTTCTTATCCAGGTGATGGATGATGAGAGATTTGCCAACACCCTGCAGCAAACTGGCAACCTGAACATTTAAAAATAGTTGCAATCAATGCTTTAATCAGCTAGAATAACAAGACATCTCTCTCACACACACATATGGTGTGTATGGCTAGGGTGTGTTCCAACAAGCTGGAAAGCTTTTCATATACATTATTTGATTTAATGAGGGGACGAATCCAGGCTACAGATTCTATCATTGTTGTGATAGTCATTAGTTTATAATCATCATTATTAAAAGACTCCTTATTCAGGAACAAAATTGCAGGAATAATGAAAACCTGATGATTTTGTTCTCACTCACTGGAGAAGTGATTCAGTACTCACAACATTAGAGCGCCGTCTAACCGGCTGAATTATAGTGTATGAATTTTATGAGGAATGGCGGATATTTTCTTGGAAACTACTACATGCTGTATCCAGACATTTGAATGCCCAAGACAGACTACAGAAACAAGTAGCATTTGAAATATGCCATTTTAAAGAATTTAATTCTGCCTTCAGTAAAAAAAAAAAAAAAAAAAAAAAAAAAAAAGACGACTAATGATTTTCACCTTGCAGCTGAAAGCTATATCTAGAGACTAGTGAGCAACCACTTAGCAACCACCCATATCACCCTGTAAACTGCATATGCCCCACACAGAATGTACAAATCTACCTCTAGTTACAGCACTAAATGCTATGCTGAGCCCCTTTTCTGGTCAAGAAAGCATCTAAACCTCCAAATTTGGAGACCACCTTGAATTTCTAGGAAAGAAAGAGAAGTGAGGACATTCAAAAAGGGTGAAAGCCAATGTGTGAGTGAATGTCATCTGGCCCGCCTGAGCAGTCCATTCATAACTCCAGGTCACAAGGCAAAAGAAAACAAAGAAATCCGAGCCAAGAATTTAAAGCTTTGTTTTTCTTCTGTGAGAGAAGACCTGGGATTGAGTTCCGGAATCATTTGGCCAGTGTCCCCTGTTCCGCAGTTGCCATAGCACTCACAGGATGTCTTCCAGATGACATAAGAACCCAATGGAACCCACTGGAGCGACGCTGCAATGAAAGGCATGTGTGTTGAAGGACTAGGCTATATAGAAAATATTCATGAAGTATTAGTGGTGATTTTGGTGGTGAAATAAATGATGCTGCTTTATACTCTTTTTTTTTTTTTTTCTTCTAAAGACTTTTAGATTAGATTTGACTAGCAATACAAAACTTTCTTGCCTCAAAAGAATTGTTACATTAATGTGAATCAGTTCAAATGATCCATTTAAGTGAATCAGTTCTAGGCATTATTTTATAATAAACTCTTGAATGGTAGTGTAGATTTTTATTGCATTATACTTTCTACACATAAAACTTATCAAAAGTGACAGTAAATCAGTAAATTTGCATTTAGCTATTTTAAAAAAAATGTATAGACCCTAAACTTAAAAGGTAGTGTATATTAAAGTTTTACAGCAATTTGTAAGTAAAAATATTTTGCTAGTTAGTATATTAGTGAATATACAGTCGTGGTCAGAATTATTGGCACCCTTGGTAAATATGATCAAAGAAGGCTGTGAAAATTAATCTGCATTATTAATCATTTTGATCTTTTATTTCAAAAATTCACATAAATCTAACCTTTCATTGGAGAATAAAAATTTAAAATGGGGGGAAATATCATTATGACATAAATGTTTTTCTCTAATACACATTGGACACAATTAACGGCACCCTTTTATTCAATGCTTTTTGAAACCTCCATTTGGCATAATAATAGCTCTTGAGTTTTCTCCTATAATGCCTGATGAGGTTAGAGAGCACCTGACAATAGATCAGAGACCGTTCCTTCATCCAGAATCTCTCCAGACCCTTCAGATTCCCAGCTCCATGTTGGTGCTTCTCTTCAGTTCACCACACTCATTTTCTATAGGGTTCAGGTCAGAGGACTGGAATGGCCATAGCAGAAGCTTGGTTTTGTGCCCAGTGACCCATTTTTGTGTTGTTTTTAAGGTTTGTTTTTGGATTATTGTCCGGTTGGAAGATCCAAACATGGCCCATTATAAGAGTTCTAACAGAGTCAGTCACTTTTAGATTTTTTTATCTGTTGGTATTTGATAGAATCAAAGACATGGCATATCTAAACAAGATGTCCAGGACCTCCAGCAGAAATATAGGCCCATGACATTAAAAATACAGCAGTGTATTTCATTGTACACATGGGGTACTTTTTATCCCTGTGTGCACCAAACCCCCAAAAATTGTTTGTTGCTAAAAAGCTAATTTTTTAGTTACATCTGACTATAGAAGCCAGTCCCATTTGAAGTTCCAGTCGTGTATGACAACAGAATATGCTGGGGATTGTTTTTGGATGAGAGCATTTTCTTTTCTTGATTTTTTTTCTTGAAACCCTCCCAAACAACATGTGGTGTAGGTGCTGTTTGATTTTTTTTTTAAACTATTTTCTGCAATTCTCCAGCTGTGGTCCTTGGAGAGTCTTTAGCCAATCAAACTCTCCTCCTCACCGTGCATTAGGACGATATAGACACACGTCCTCTTCCAGGTAGATTTGTAACATTTTCTGTTGATGGGAAATTCTTAATTATTGCCCTGATGGTGGAAATGGGAATTTTCACTGCTCTAGCTCTTTTCTTAAAGTCACTTTCTAATTTGTGAAGCTCAATTATCTTTTACTGCACATCAGAAATATATTCTTTGGTTTTTCTCATTGTGATGGATGATTAAGGGAATTTGGGCTTTGTTTTCCCTCCTATTTATATTCCTGTGAAACAGGAAGCCATGGCTGGACAATTTCATGTTCATAATCACCCTGGTATGCTCAAAATTGTAAATATGAATGGGAATATACTTCACAGATATTTTACTCTTAAGAATTTCTAGGGGTGCCAATAATTGTGTCCAACGTGTATTTGAGAAAAAACATTTCATAATGAGATTTTCCCCCATTTTCAATTGTTTTAGTTCAATGAAAGGTTAGAGTGTTTTTTTTTAATAAAAGATCAAAATGATTGACAATGCAGATTTATTTTCACAGCCTTCTTTGATCATATTTACCAAGGGTGCCAATAATTCTGACCACGACTGTACATCAAAATGATTAAATATTTTTTATCCTGTGTAAATTTAGTGTAGGGAAAAAAGTGTGGGAAAATGTTTGGGTATTTTAAATCATATTTTAGTTCTTACATCATCTAATTTCAAAATGATTTGGATTCGGATTCTAATTGGCACCAAAAAAAACAAAAAAGCAAAAATAAAAGTTACCCTATTTTGGCAATTCAGCGCAAACAGGTTACATGTTGAAATTTATAATGATAAAATAATATTCAAAAGGATGAAAATATTTAGCTATATTGCACAACCCCTGATGTGCTCTAGCCACAAAACAATTTTAACATGTCTTACATTAAAAAGTGGGCAACTTCTACACCACAACCTCAAGTGGGTCTCTTTGCTGGGTAGTAACTGATTACATGGAATCTGGGTTACGTAGTCAGATTCCAAAAATGAAGTACTTGTAAATACATTATTTTACATTTTAAAATGCTCATTACTATATAATTACAAATTTCTCACACATCGGCAGTAAATTATTTATTATTTATCGATTATTCCTAATTCCTCTTTTTTTCTCTTTTAAATTTTCCTTTCTAAAACATACTAGTGTGTGCCATATTGTTTAGCTTTGAATATACACAATATAGAATGGCCATGTAAATTAATTTGCGCCCCATGCTTCTGAATCCAAGGGAAAAAAGCACCTCTCAGTTAATTATAGCATGATTTAACAACATTGACATGTTCAAAGTTCTCTGATGTCAGTTAATGGTCACACTGACATGCAGGTAAACAAATAAAATATTTAAATTGTAATTTAATTTATTCATTTTAATTTTACATTTTTATAATTTGATTAAATATAATCTTTTCATGAACTCATAAACCCTCTGCAGTTCTTTCATTTACCCATGTTTGGGAAACCCTGGAGTAATTCATTTCATAATAACAGAGAATGGAATACGTTTTATTTATCTTTGCTTTTTATAACAATAATAATCCCATTCAAATCTATAAAAGTTAGGTCAAAAGTAATCTAAAAGTAATCCAAAAGTAGTCAGAATACATAATCTAAAATGAGTAATCTAGATTACATTACTGACCACAATTTTTATCATGTAATTTGTAATCAGTAACAGACTACACTTTGTAAATAACCTACCCAGCACTGTTGGTTATCATTTCAAATAAGAGAGCTTACTCATGGGTCGAAAAGACTACACAATGAATCTTTCTGGTAAAAGACAGTATAAGCTCCCTACGAATGCTTTTTAAAGTATACATCATTAAGCACTGGAGGAACATCAAAACAGATGGAAATCACAAATAAAAAATAACAGGCTGATCTTAGATACATGCTACGGCCAAATTCACTTGAATCCAGTTGTGTCATCTGCAATTCAAGTGTTGAAAAGCAGAATAAATCTAAAGCAGTACTTCACTGTCACATCCATCAAGGCGGATGAATAGACCAAACCATCAACATGTAACGCATTAGTCTTTAATAATGTATATCATGCATGGTCTGACATCACACGATGACTAATAAATAAAATGTTCCCTGCATCTTTCAAGTTTGCAATTGTTTTAAACTTTGCTTTAATTCTTTGACTGGAACTAAACGTATTTGTAAAGACTCCACTAAAAACAGGCCTGTCAGTCTGTCTTTATGAATGTCTTAAGTGCCATTTTCTAATCAAGTTCATTCAAAACACATTGTTCTTTGGTGTCTGAGAGATTTTGATGTTGCCTACACATGTTCTCCAGATAATTTGCCTGAATATCAGTTACAAAAATACCAAACTACACCAATGTGATTAACATAACAGGACAACCAACATTCACACAGCTGATTTGTCCGTCATCACATCTGCTGGAATTGGGTCACACTGGACTGTTATGGATTATCTATACTATTAATCAAACGAGAGACAGACTCAATGAATATGGAAAGCAATTATGTATGCACAAACGTTGAGGATCGAACATACAGGAGTGGGTGTTTTGTTTGAGAAGAGTAAAACTTTTCTAAAATGGGACAACCATTTGCAAATACTGAACTTTTAAAGTGGAATGCATATGATATATACCATTTTAATACCACCGCATGTTTTTGCAAATGGAAGGAGGAGACAATTAAAGAAAATAGAAATAAAAAATTGGAAATTTAAGATATAAAACAGGGAAACCTCATGACTGTTAAAGGACTAATTAGGAGTAGCAGTGTACAAAAGCAAAAGCTTACTGGTACTGATGTATCATTCTTGGCATTATACTGTGAAAGTATGGAAAGAATCACACCAACAGTGAACCAACGGACTATTATTTCTTTCAAACACTATGCACAATCAAGAGTCCCTTTAGTCCAACCACTGATAATGAATTGCTTTCTGACTCTGCCCTCTAGTGGGGAGAAGCAGTCCAACACCACAAGACACAGCAACAGTGAATTACACCAGCAGAGTCATTCCTGAACCCTGACACATTAATATGATTGTTTTAAATTAATATGAAGTAGTTTTGCAATATATTTATGATATTTAGGTTAATTCAGGAGGTCAGTCAGAACTGATTTATTACATAAATACAACAGCTTCGTTAATTCATTATTCAATTTCATTAAACAGGACAGAATGAGAGAGAAAAACCACAGGATTCAAATCCCTCACTAACCTTTTGTGCCAGTGTTTTCCGAAAATAAATAAATAGCCTATTTGCCAAAGTTTTGTTAACTTCAATGTTTAACTTCATTTGTATTTTTTTACATTTTAATTGGGTGATTTTAAATACAAGTTCATTTTTATCTTGTCCAAGATATCTTATGTCCAAACATAAATAAATATATTAATACTAGTATAATGTCCAAACATACATATACATATATATATATATACAGTGGTGTGAAAAAGTGTTGGCCCACTTCCTGATTTCTTATTTTTTTGCATGTTTGTCACATTTTAATGTTTCAGATCATCAAACTAATTTAAATA